ATGGGCCAAAGAACTCAACAGACATTTCTCCAAGGAAGACATACAGATGGCTAACAAACACATGAAAAGATGCTCAACATCACTCATTATCAGAGAAATGCAAATCAAAACCACAATGAGGTACCATTATACGCCAGTCAGGATGGCTGGCTATCCAAAGGTCTAGTGGTTCCTTTCCATTGACAGTTAGGAGTTCGGCTTGGGTGAGACCGCAAGCCCCACGAGGGCAGATACCTGTCCTCTCTTATTTGCCATTCATACTGTCCGGGCCTGGCAGGTGCCCCAGCTGTAGTGAACATCTTGTTACCTGGATTTGTTCATTGCAGAGCTGTGTGTGGAGGGGCTGTAAGGGGTGGGGGAGTGCGTAGGACTTAAAGGCTCATAGATCAGTTTCCCGAAGATCATTAGATTTCATGAGGGGAGCAGGAAGGACATATAAACACACATGGAAGCAGTGTCCTCACCTTTAAAAAGCACCTGCATAGGACCCAAGTTATTTATTGAAGACATTTTTACTGGCAAAGTAGATCTGGAGCAGGAGTGAGAGGGAAGGTAAGTTCTTACCTCATTTTTAGTTTGTATTAAGCTAGTTGCAGGGTTCGCACAAATATTCTAAAATAATCCTTTTGAAACTGAACACTTAAAAATTATTTTGTGGCAGATAATTATACATTAACAAGTCAGAGCAGTAGAAGGGTGGGAAACGACGTCTCTGTATCGAGCAGGCAGGTATTTTGTGTGTATAAAATAGATCTAGAAGTATCGTACACTGAAAAGAAGCTCCATCTTAATGAAGTGAGAATTCTTAACCAAAAATGATGGTAAGCAATTCTTGAAACTGCAGCACAGTAACTTCTACTCGTTGGTGTTAAATCAGTAGGTTTCTGTTCTCTTGGTTGGGTCTGAGTTGGGCGAGGGTGTCAGGAGGTTCTCGACCCGGGAGTGATGGAAAGGGGCCCGCCCTGTCTGCACCCCTGGCTCACCGCTGCCGTGGCAACCGCACTAACCCACTCTTTTCCTTCCCTCTGTCTCGGCACGCTTGCCTTCCTCCTCGGACGTCAGGAGCAAAAACGTATAGATGGCACAACCCGGGAGGTGAAAAAGGTTAGAAAAGCCAGAAACAGGCGCCAAGAATGGAATATGATGGCGTATGACAAAGAGCTTAGACCCGACACCAGGTTGTCACAGAGCACACACCACGGAGCGTCTTCTGAAGGATCCTTGTCCCCAGACACTAGGTGTGTGTGTGTGTGTGCGCACGCGTGCGTGCATGCTTTGTGAGGGCGAGTGGGGCCTGGCTTCCCTTAAGTGGAAACGTAGCACAGCGTTGTGTTTATGTGGTCCACAGTGTGTGTTCCAAACTTTCCTTAAAGATGAGTGTTGTGTATGTATTGAGTTTCAAATAATACTTTAGTTTTGTTTGATGTTGGGTTACTTTGCATCATTTTCCATCTGTGACTTCACTTAATCATTTGATTAATCTAGATGTACTGTTTTAACCTCAATTCTGAATTTGGGCTTAGTACCTGCCCATGACTGGCATTTTCATTTTGATAATCCTTTCATTCTTTCTCTGCCTCTTTTGCTTAGAATTCTGCTTTTCCTTTGCCACTTGGTATCTGAAACGACTGTAGGTAGTGACTGATGTGATCAAGGAATAACTTCATTGTTCTTTTTGATAACCTTTCCAAAAGGGATGAACAAAGTTTTTTTTTTCCCCCCCTTCAGTTTGCTAATCTTATGTATTCTAATTGCAGGAGGAGAATTCTCTTAGGAATTTATTTTTAAAGATTGTTAGCCATTCAGTAAAGCTGTTTTCTTGCAGATGTGAAAGACATGGCCACTAAGCGGTGTTTATCCCGAAAGGGCTTCACTGGAAGACCTGACCAGTAATCGTGATTTACTGTTAGTTTCGTATTTCTGCTTCTGTAAAGGTGGGCTCTTCCATCGGCATTTAAACCTGTGAATAGAGGATTCTTACATCAGCAGTGACCTGGGCCTTGCATTAAATCTGTGTTTTAAGAAATGTGTATTAACCTCCGTGGTTAGCTCAGTCTGATGTACAGAAGATGCTTAATGTTCGGTGGGTATAGTTCCCATAAATACACTTATCCCACAAGGGCTGCCGGTCACTGACTGAGGCAGCGTCTAGATTTTTCTGTGCAAGCTGTTATCAGGTAATGATCTGACCATTCCTGGAGCTTGAACTGAGCTGTAGCCTCAAGTTTTAGTCTTTGTGTCAGTTTATCTCTGTAGAAGGTTAAGACTGAAGATACACTTCTGCTTATAGTTCTTTGGGTGAGAAGTATGTGAACTTGACAGCTCCCAGGATGTCATATCTCCTGTTCCGTTTTCTCCAGCCAAGCTGTGACTGTTTATTCGTGCAAAACATATACTTTGTAATATTCCATACATAACTCTTTCCATAGGTACAAATGGAAAAATGACTTTTTAAAAATCTTTCGGTTGAATTAATCGATACTCATTCTTGAATCTGAGATTAGACTGTGCCATGCTGGGTATAAAATTGATGGATTATAGCCCTTAAATTATTTTGGATATTTTTTATTTTATGAAAGTGTAACAGTTTTCTTATTATAAAATAAGATTAAATTTTTATATTTGGAAAAAATTATTCATAATCCTATTACCAGAGAAACCACTGTTGTTGCATTTTAGTGTATTTCTTTTTTGGTCCTTTTTCTGTACATGTGTATATTTTTTACTTAATGAAATCGAAGTCTGCCCTGTGTTATTTACCTTTTGATTTTATAATGTCTCATATTCCTGGGCTTCTCTGGTGACTCAGAGAATACAGAATCGCCTGCAATGTGGGAAACCTGGGCCAATTCCTGGGTTGGGAAGAGCCCCTGGAGAAGGGAATGGCTACCCACTCCAGTGTTCTTGCCTGGAGAATCCCATGGACAGAGGAGCCTGGTGGGCTACAGTCCATGGGGTTGCAAACAGTCAAACACAACTGAGCGACTTTCACACATTCCTGTTTGAAGTGTTATTTAGAAACGTGGTTTTTAATGGATGTACTCGGGGTAACTGAGGGAAATTTGAGCTTTAAGTTTGATGGTATGTATATAATTTGTTCTTGTTTAAGTAATACATTTTCAGCTCATCACACAAACTAACGATAAGTTTTCACTCTCTTTGTAGATCAGCAGGAATGGTTTGATTCTAAGGGTACATTTAGGATGAGCCTGGATGAAATGCTTGTCCCCCGCTCCCCCCATCGATCAGGAAGCAGGGTGCCCCCTGGCCCCTGTCCTTCCCCCTTCCTCACCCTGTTCCGGGTGTTGCAGCCGCCTGACCCTGTGTCCCAGACACTCGACCCTGCCCTCCCGCAGAACCCCGAGGGCTTCATTTGCTTCTCCCACTGAGTCTCCACTGCTGACACTTCTCCTGTCCCATCTTTTCTTCACTCCTCTACATTCTCTTTCCCCTAACAGATAGCTCCTGGTGCCCCTGCAGCCTTAGGACCACCCCCCCTGGCCCACACTGGTGCCATGAACCCTGGGGCTGATTCTGCCTTCCTGTTGGGGGGTCCTTTCCGCTCAGCGGTCACCCTCCTCCTCATCTCTTGTCCAGCCCACTGGTGTCCCCCGAACAGGGGCAGTGACACTTGGAGTGACCAGCCAGCCCCCTCTCCACTGCAGCCCACCACCGTCACAGAGCCCTGCCCCCAGGCTCTTCTGCTGTAATTCCCGACACTGGGCATGTCCTGCTCACGTCTGTCCTCCATCCAGTTTTGTCCCCCATTGCCTCCTGTATCACCCCGCACCTTACAGAACAGAGCTCTGAATCGTGCCAGGATACTTCCAGCCCCGGCTCCTCGCCCCATCAGAAGCACTCCGTAGCCTGTAGATGAGTTTGTTTCCATTAGAAAGTTGTACCCCGGCTATGGCACAGTCCCCCACATGGGGCCATGCCCCCATCATCAGGGAATACAGAGTTTCAGGTATTTACATTTTTAAAATATGCTAAAACTAAAAACAGGTCAGATTCTTCCCCCACTGAAAATATTTTTAACTCCCTTGCCAACAGTTGGCATAATTCAAAGGACAGTCATATGCACACCATAATGTACAGTTCATACTGCAGTTAGGGAAAAAGGAAGTGAGTGTCAAGTTATGTTTATACTGCAATTAGGGAAGAAAAAAGGAAAAAAAACAAAAACAGTAGTCTTTTTGCCATTTAGAGAACTTTTCTATGCAGTGATGTCCCAGGGAAGCTGCTGTCTGAATTCCAAAGACCCGACGTGTGTTTGCCTCTTCCCTTCAGAGAGAGAGACACAAGATGAATCCCAACAGAAGCCAGCAAATAAGTGTGAGAAAAGTCAGGACCAGAAGAGAAGAGTGGGAGAGAAGGAAGATGGGCATTGAGTTCATGAGTGACGCGAGGAGGCTGCAGCAGGCAGGGGGCGCGGCAGAGCGCAGGACGCCCGCCGGGTTTGTGGTTCTGCTTGCTCCGGGTCCCAGCCCCCGTGGCCCCCCGCTTCGGCGTCACGAGAGGATGCCCTGCCCTGTACTGACCACACATCCCATAACCCGGGTGACTAACACCCTGCGGCGCTGCCCAGCCCTCCCCTCCCCCAGCGGTACCCCCAGGGTCCCAGCATCCTTCTGAACTCTGCCGACTAACACGGAGATGTGTGCATCCTTTCAGAGTTTCTCTCTCCTGTGGGCCTTGGAGGCAGCAAGAGGGCTTCTGCCTGCAGCACTGTGTTCCTTCTCTCTCTCTTTTGGCCATAAATACATTTCTCCTGTTCAAGAAAACTACCACTCACTGCATTCTTGACTTCTTTCTCTGTTCTTACACCGTTCATTTTTTTTTCCCCCCGATTCATCTGCCGTTTGTTAAGGTGTAGTTATACGTTGTCAGTTTAATCGCCACTGAAATCTTCCACCTTGGATGCCGTTTTCAAGTTCAACGCCCTGTCTTGGAGGCTCCTGTCTTACAAACGAGTCTGCTGCGATGCTGTGAAGGGGCTGTGCTGTCTGCCGCTTGTCCGTCTGTCTGACCACGCACATCACAGCTGTGGCTCTGAAACCACGTAACCCTGGAGCTTTGCCGCTAAAGTCATGATTGCATTGTGCTTGGAAGCTCTTATGGGCCTCGACCTTATCGATAGTACAGGGAATAAGCGTGTGATTTCTGTGCCTTGGCCGTGTTCAGATTTAAATGTACGCTGATACCTGGTGGTGGGGGGAAGTCTTCTTTACTGACTCCACTTTCTCCCACCCCTGGCTCTGGCCCTCAGGTCCCACGCATCAGATGTCACGGATTACTCGTACCCGGCCACCCCCAACCACTCTCTGCACCCGCAGCCTGGGACCCCTTCCTACGGAGCAGGTGACGCGCCGCCCCATGGGCCGGCAGCCCAGGCCCCCGAGCATGAGTTCCGGCCCCCGTCGGCCTCAGCCCGACACCTGGCCCTGAACAGGCCCCAGCAGCCCCCGCCGCCCCCACCGCAGGCTACGGAGGGCCCCCAGGCCCCCGCGCCCATGGCTCCAGCCGACTACGGGTAAATACCCCATCCTGGGCTCCCTCTGGGGCTCGCCATTGCGTCGGGGTGTTGGGTGGGTGATGAGGAATTGTCACTGAATAACCTGGAGAAGGAAATGGCAACCCACTCCAGCATTCTTGCCTGGGGAGTTCTGTAAACAGAGGAGCCTGGTGGGCCACAGTCCATGGGGTCACAGAGAGTTGGACACAACTGAGTGACTAACACTGAACCCTGAGCCAAACTCTGGAGGCCAGGATGCAGCCAGGAATGAGCGGGTGCAGATCCCGTCCGTTGAGAAACTCTGTGTTAGGAAAGGCGGGGTCACGCCACTCCCCTTTTATTACACACAAGCCTCAGGTTTGTGTCTATGTTTATGAATACATATTACCTTTATGTTTGAATGGCTGAGGCAGGGCCTTGACAAAGGACGACATGCCAGTTTTATGACCGGCATGTCACAAATGCTCCAGAGAATTCACATTTCAAAGGAGAAAACGATAATATGCAACATAGGACTTCTTAGACTTGGATGTATGTAACCCTGACCTCTGGGTACCCAAATATTATTCTGCCACCAGGTCCTCTTGTTTTGTGTTATTTGGGAAAAGTTCAAACATCTAAAAAAATGATCCTCATGTTAAGGGCTTGTTAAGTTAAGCACCACCTGTGTTTTGGTAAGCGATCTTTTTGGCTTAAGCTCAGTCTTTCAAGAGTTAGTCCCTCCTAGTCAGCACCTAGAGAATTTGAACACGGACAGGGTTTCCATGGACAGGGTTTTCTCCACTGTGGAGCAGTGAGGGTGGCACTCTAAACGTACATCCCTCAGCCCCCAGAGGTTTTCTCTCTGACAGCAGGGTCTTAGACGGTCCCTGCAATTGGTCTTTGTAACTCAGGGTTCCCACAGAATGTTCCGAGGCTCCGAGTGTCAGGCAGAGAGAGTTTGTGGTCCAGTTGGTTTGGAAAACTCTCGGCTAAGTAGATCCCTGCAGGTTTCTTGGCTGGAGGGGTTTCGAAGCTTTGGATGTTCTGAGGGTTTTGTGAGCTCTGGGGAATTTCCATGGGGATGGGGTGTAAAATACAGAATTTGCCGATCTGATTGGCCTCAGAACCCTGCTAAGACAGATTTCCGAGCCCCTTTCCTGAGATGCCCCATGTAAGGATGCCTTGTCCTGCTTTCTTCACGCTGCAGTCAGCTGTCCAGCGCTCCACAGACGTCACCTTTTCTGGTGGTTATCATTTGGTGCACGTCAGCAGACCATCTTGAGTCCCATCACAGTGACTTGTGATGACCTGTGGTCCAAAGCATGGTTATTTGCGTCCTGCAGTGTTTCACATGACAGCGTGCGCAGTGTCCGGGGTGGGGGTGGGGGGCTGTCTCTAAGGTGGGGGAGACCCTCCAAGGATGGGGCTGCCTATTGCTCTCTAGTGACTCTCTGCTTCCTGTCCCCGCCAGGATGCTGCCGGCTCAGATCACGGAGTATTACAGCCCCTCGGGACCCCCACGCCCCCGCCCGGCCCTCCAGGTGCCGGCTCCTCGCTCTCCTCCTCCCCAATGCACGCCCCCCCGGGGGCCGAGGCCAAGAGGCAGGAGGCCCCGCAGCCGCCGGTCAGCGACGCCCGCAGCGACCTGCTCGCCGCCATCCGGATGGGTGAGTGTCTGTCCCAGGACAGAGGCCCACCAGCCATGGCCTCGGCTTCCATCAGCTCCAACCTCCACCAGATGGCCTTTAGGAGAGGGTGACAGGAGCCTCATTTGGTTTTCCTTTTTTTTTTTTTTAACAGCGAATGTGTTTTTTCAGTGCTAAGTAAACACGGTGATAAAGCACTGAGAATTCAGGAAAGCTTTACTTGACTAGGAATAGATTATAAAAATGATCATCAATTAATTGGATCTTCTTTTTTTCACTCCATCTTACTTCTTTATACTTACTTATACTTTATACTTATACTTTAAACTTACTTACTTATACTTCTTTCACTCCATCTTATACTTATAAAGATCAGAAGTATAAATAAAAGAAAATGAGCTCCTGTCAGTGATCTAGTTTTTCATATCTAGGATATGTCTTATCTTAGACTTTTATATTTTTAGTTTGATGTGCTAGTGAGCTGCAGGCTGTCCGGGAGTATGGTCTTCATGATGGAAACACTCATTTGGCACAATTGTCCCAGTGCAGGGGGCCACTGGAAACCTTGAAACAGCCTCTGGTGGCCAGTGGCTACCTGGGTGGTCTGTGCTGCTCTAGAATGTTCTTTCTTGGTGCTCATGTGCTCTGGAATCGTAACTGACTATCTTACATTTCAACACATCGCTTAAGGAATGTCACGACTTCTGTACATTTTATTTTTCTTCTTTGTCCTGGAACATCTATTTCCCAAGCATTTCCCCTTCAGTTTCTAAAACATTTCATTCTAGCATCAGTAGGCCAAAAAAAGTCTAATAGGCTTGTTGGTCCATCTCTGTTTAATTGGAGCGGGCAGAGGGATTGCGTTCTGAGCTGTGTCTTGTGTCTCTAGGGATTCAGCTGAAGAAGGTGCAGGAGCAGCGGGAGCAGGAGGCCAAGCGCGAGCCTGTGGGCAACGACGTGGCCACCATCCTGTCCCGGCGCATCGCCGTCGAGTACAGCGACTCGGACGATGACTCGGAGTTCGACGAGAACGACTGGTCCGACTGAGACGGGTGCCCAGCGGGCCGGGCCGGGCCGGGGGGGCGTGTCGACGATGTCAGTGGTCCCAGCACCCAGATAGTGGTATTATAATCCCGTAGCTTAGCCACTTTTGTATCAATAATGTGAGATTGCTTTTGCACATCCAAAACTTCTGGGTTTTTTCAGTATTTACTGTGTAATACTTAAGTGCCACTAAACATAGCAAACCGTGCGGCACACGAGGAAATAACGCTGTAACTATCGCATCGTCCTGAAAACAGCCTCTTGCTTCTTTCTCTCGGCCACAAACGCGCTCAGTGCCGTTTGGGTTCACGCTCCTTGATCGTGAAAATCCTGCAGACTTGCTGTGTGTTTGTGAAGCTGCCTGTTGTCAGGTGTCTGCGAGATTCATGACTGTGCAACAGACCAGTGTCTTCCGATCAGTAAGCGATATTGTTTTCCACTTTTTAAAAAAAAAAAAAAAGGAAAATGTGTTTCAGAAGAAGTTGGTTCTTGAGAGAAAGATTTGACAAGTAGGAGACTCAGCTGTCTGAGCTTGCACTGTCATGGCCCGGCGGCCTCTGTCAATCTGGAGGCTCTGTTGAAGAACCTCGTTTTCTCTGCTGACCTTGTGAAATGTGGACTTGGCCCTTCTCAGGCAGGATCCCTCGCAGGCATTCACGGAGTCAGTGCTCACTGGTGATTTCTGTAGGAGGTTTCAGCAGCGCAGTAGGAAGGAAAGTGAAGAACAGCCCTTTTTCCTTTGGGGTTGTCAGGGACGGGGATGCACTCAGCACCCTCAGCGGCCCCTGGCTGGGGAACCAGCCCGCACGGACCTGGGAGCAGAGCCCGTACAACCTCTCTCCTGGAACCACATCCCAGGCGGGCCCACGTGGAGGCCTTGGAGCCACAGGGAAGGCTCCAGGTGGCACCTGGCCCCAACTGGTCTTGAGTTCTGAGAGCTTCATTTAGGTGAGAGGAAACTGTCGCATCTTTTTTGCCTTCCCTGGTGCTGTGGCCAGTTAGGGACCCAGCCCTTGAAGCGCACGGGTTCCTCTCCCACCACTCATCAGCACACCACGCTTGACCAGGTACCCCGGGGGAGGGTCAACCCTTCCTTGTCCCTTCCCACGTGATGACAGGTGAGCCCGAGCGGGTCTTCCTGTTCAAGACAAACTGCTAGGAAACTCGTGAATGAGAACTTAGATTCTGTAATGCTGGGTGAAGGTGAACTGTTTGTTTGGAAGAAAAAAACACCCCAGGCTTTGATCTCAGGTGCAACTTCACAGATGTACAAAGACATTTTACCCCAGAGCAGCTCTGACTTCTCTGCCACGTGCGCCTCGGGTCCTGGTGACGCTCAGTTGTGACCAAGGAATCTGTGGCTAAAACAGAGATGTTTGGGTGGACGGTAGGATGTCAGCAGGACCCTGACTGCCGGGGGTGGGGGGTGTTGTTGCTGAGGTCTCCCCAGGGAGCTGCTTCTCCCACCATCACGTCTGTGTCCCTGACACGTCTGTGTCACCTTCCCTGTGGAAGGTCACGGTCATCCTGTGAGGGCTGCCTGACGGGCCTTGAGCCACCTAGGTTGGAACTCAAGAAGAGCCTCAGATCTGTATTACCCTTGTTTCCAAGTGCCCAGGCCAAGGTTGTCTCTGAGTCTTTTCAGCTAAAACCAGCTGTTCAGGCACACGCTTGTTGGAGCTCATCACCATGTTGTGTTGCCTCTAAGTAGTTATTAATCAACTCCCCAGTTCCTCTCTTTTAATTTCTTTTTCTCCAGTGCAGAGGCCAGCTGTGTTGGCATTTTTCTTGGGACTTTTACAAATTGTGGTCATATTTTGTCTTTCTTACAGTATTTTGTCTTTACTGTTACTTTTGGATACGGAGGCATCTGTGTCCTTCTAGAACCTATGCTTGGTAAATCTTTGTTTTTGTTTTTTTTTTTTTGTAATGTCCCTTCTGTCCTCAGGATGGAGAGAATGCATAAAGCTACTATCCGTGTCAGGATTTCTTCTATTTATATCTTATCACAGTAAAATTAGTGGCACTTTATACATATTCATGAGCCTGTTAAGTATTGGTCGTCTTCCTGTAGTTTAATCAACAAGTTATTTTCAACTTGATGTTCTGACCAGTGAAAACGCTTTTGCCCTGATGTGTTATGTCGCCTCTAAGAGAATGGAAAAGGACTAAAATCCATTTTAAATTATTTTTCACAGTATTTTTCTCAGCGCTGATTTATTCTAAAAATGAAATCCAGACTTTTTCTAATATGATAGCACATGAAAAGGAAAAAGTGACTATTTTGAACTGTCCATTTTCATTTTCAAGAAGTATTTACGAGACAAATGGAGAAAAACATTTAAATGCATATTTCCTATCTATGGATTTTACATTTTAAAGTAAGCTCTATGTTGTAAGGTTATTTTATTTTTTTGTTTAGTCTAATTTCTTACAAGCTTTTTCTCATGTCACGGATCAGGCAGAGGGATGAGAAGAAGACTCAGCACCACCCATTAACTGCACGCATATGATGTAGTCAATTTTCTGTTGTCTAGCCCTAAAACAATAAGATTTGGTCACTTACGATTTTCTTCAGTAAAAGTATACTGTTGGAGAATTAGCATTTTCATTTCAGTAAATTTTTAGAATGTCGAAATCTTTTCTGAGCACCACGTGGCTAGATTGTGAAAGTTTTGTAATAATTTGCAGCTGAAATTCACGATACATTTTCATCCATTGAAGACTCATGGGAATGTATCAGCCAGAGTAGCAAGTAATTTTTGTTTTCTAAACCAGAGTCTGTCACCTTGCAGTATTACCAATGCTGTTGTACACTGAATTTAAAGTGGTATTAAAAAAAAACCTCCTGGTAAACAATTTTTATCTGTTTGTATATCTTACTATAGATTATGTACAAGTAACATCTAAATAAAATTACACTTTTAACCCTAAACAGTTTTGCTTATTATAGCAGTGTTGTATGGTTAACCTTTTGGGGTGGGGGGAGAAATTGGGGCTTGGTGGGGTTTTTAATTAGCCTTTCTGTTATTCCCTGGTGGCTCAGATGGTAAAGCATCTGACTGTGATGCGGGAGACCTGGGTTCGATCCCTGGGTCAGGAAGATCCCCTAGAGAAGGAAATGGCAACCCCTACTCGTGCCTGGAAAATTCCATGGATGGAAGAGCCTGGTAGGCTACAGTCTGTGGAGTCGCAAAGAGTCAGACACGACTGAGCGACTTCACTTACACTTTCCATTATTAGATAATAAAAGATACTGCTCGGATGCCATTTAAATTTCTACACAATTTTTCTGTAGACAAGAGTCGCAGTTGGTTCTGCGAGTGACTTGGGAAAGGACTGGTACAGTTTGAAAACGCCGTTCCCGGAGCAGGAAGCAACCTGCCCAGGAGACTTTGGCATCTTAACCACATCTAGTCTGAATTGTAGCGATTGATATTCGGGAGCATGGATAGCTTCTGAGATGTTTTCCTCTACTCCTTAAAATGATCCTTTGAAAGGGAGCTTTCTGCCTGTTTCCTGTGTGAGAGAACAGAGTGAGGTTAAGCTGCTGGCCGGGGACGGTTTCTGATGGACCTGCACTGCACATGGGAAAGCACCGCGGGGGATTGTGGCAGCTGAGGTCGGGGAGGGGGCAGAAGCAGCCACCTTAGGGGAGCAGGCTGGCATCCGGGCTCCTGCGGCCACTGCTCTGAGCTGGCTGGCCAAGCGCTGTGCTCCGCGAGGACCCCGGCCATCTGTGCGTCTGAGCCCCAGCATGGCCCTGATGCCTCCACACCAAGCAGCTCCTCGTGGAGTGATTGGATGGATGGTGGATTTCCGAGTTACTTTCTTACCAAAAGTTAGCTGTGTGCAATTTTTAAAATATGAAGCATTTTGCCAGGTACTCTGTATTTCCGCCTTGTTAGCACTTGTCCCTAGATGCCTGGCTCCCACTCTATTTACATGTGTCCCCCAGCAGCTAGGGCTCAGCAGGGCAGGCGGGGGGCATCATATTTACTGTTACAGCCTGTTTGTCAAGCAACAGCGCCTGGCGCTTCATAGGGGTCCATACATATTTACTGACTGATGGTCATTTACAGAGCTTCATCAGAAAGGGTGTCTTCATCAACACATATTTGAAGGCCTAAGAAAAAGGTAAATGCAATAGCTTGTGTAAAACACAGAACTGTGCTGGACACCTAGCTGACAGAGGGGACGGTTAGCCATCGGTGTCTGCAGGCCACTTGCTGGAGACAGAAACAGGCCAGTCTGCCCTGAGGGAGCATCTCATCTAAAGAGGTGACATTAAATGCTCTCACATCCTTAGCTGGGATTTTCTTTGTATTTATCCTGCTTGGGGTTCACCAATCTTGAATCTGTAAATGTATGTCTTTAATGAAATTTGGGGAATATTTGGGCATTATTTTCTCAAATATATTTTCTGCCCCTTTCCACACTTACCTTCTTAGACTTCTATGACAGGCAGACTTTGTTTTATGCTTTGCTTTATTGCTCTTTACAGATGATGCATTTTTTTTTTCAGGCTGAGGCTCCGCGGCACCTCTGCCTCAAGCACGGCTGCTGGTGCCTTTTTTCCAGCAGCGTTTGCTCACTTCATGTTCTGTGTCACTCTTGGGTAGTTCTCTCAATATTTTAGACTTTTTCATGACGAGTTACAGTGATTTGTGATCAGTGATCTTTGTTGTTACTGTTGTAATTGTCCTGGCATTTTTTAGCAGTAAAATATTTTTAAATTAAGGTAAGTACACTGTTTTTGTGGACATAATGCTATTGCACACTTTAATAGACTACAGCATGTGTAAACGTGACTATCACAAACACTGGGAAAACAGAAAACGTGACTCACTATCTTGCAAGGGATGTGAAGCCAAACCTGCAGTGTCTCTGAGGTCTGCCTGTCTACATATGTTAGACCTTTTAGTATTGACCCACAGTTGCTTGGGACTGTTTCCATTTAAAAAGTTTCTTTCTCTCTGTTTTGCAGGTTGGATAATTTTTATGTATCCATCTTCAGTTTCACTGAGTCTATTGGTCATCCATAATTTGCTCTTAAGCTCATCTAATCTTTTATTCATTTTTTTTCCATTCTAGAATTTGCTGTTCTTTTTTTTTTTAATAGTTTCTTTCCTGAGATTTCCTACTTGTTCATTTACTAAAAGCTCATTTTCCTTTATATCTTTGTACATAGTTACACTACCTCTTAAAAAACCCTTGCCTGCTAATCCCCGACATCGGGATATTTCCAGGGTCAGTCTCCATTGATATTGATGAATGCATGATGCCTAGTAGTTTTGGATTGTATCATAACCTTGGTGAATAACACATTTTAGAGACTCTGGATTCTGTTATGTGCTCTGAAAAGTGCTAATTTTTTAAAAGAGAGTTCACGTGGCAAGAATTAAACTGCCAATGCTTCCCCACTCCCCTTGCAATGGGTAACAGCAGAAATCTTTTCAGTTCTTTCAGCTTAGCCAGGCTGCCTGGAGTTTTCCTGGTACACGCCTGGTTGCAGGCTCAACCACAGATGTGCAGTTTTACACAGAATGTTTAGGCCCCATCTCCAGCTCTCCTTTCTTGGATTCCCCCCCCCCACCACTTTCTGTCTACTCTGGTCATTCTGAATTTGGTTCTCTTATTCTTTAAGCCAGTAGACTTTGGAGTGAGCCAGCAAGGCTGCAGGGTTCCTTTTCTTTTTTTAAATTTGGCTTTGTCAGATCTTAGTTGAGGCATGTGGGATGTAGTCCCCTGACCAGGGATCAAACCAGGCCCCCTGCATTGAGAACATCGTGGAATCTTAGCCACTGAACCTCCAGGAAAGTCCCTGCAGGGTTTCTATTCAAATTTAGTTGCCCTGCCTGATAGGATGAAGCCTGTCCTCATGCCAGAAAAAAAAAAAAAAGCAGTTAAAAAACAGGAAATGCACCAAACTCCTCTCCTTTCAAGCACCAGCTTTCTCTAGTGTCCTTCTGACTGCTCTCCAGTGCCTGGAATAGTTGTGTGGTGTAGTTTGTCCAGCTTATAATTGTTTTCGGTAAAGAATTGGTCTGGCATGGGTTCATCCTCCATTCCCAGGAGCCTCATTCTGTAAATATCTGATGCAACGTTTATTTTTTAAATATTTTTAAATGTAATTTTTAAAAACGCAGACCACTTTTAAATACCAAAAATATAACAGAAGACCAGTGGTTCAGTTTTTCTACCAGGCAAACTTGTTTTTGCAAGGACTCTACAGTGAGACTTGCGATCTCTTTATGTGTGCATGGTAGGGAAGAAGTGCATGCATGGGGCGTTTCCCTGATGGCTCAGCGGTAAAGAATCCACCTGCCAATGCAGAAGACGCAAGTTTACTCCCTGGGTAGGGAAGATCCCCTGGAGATGGAAACGGCAACCCACTCCAGTATTCTTGCCTGGAGAGTCCCATGGACAGAGGAGCCTGGCGGGCTACAATCCATGAGGTCACAAAGAGTCACACATGGCTGTGACTAAGGAACAATATGCTCTGAAACACTCGCTGTTCGCATCTCCTTATGTCTATAAATCAGGATAGTCTCTAAGCTGTAAGCAAAACACAGCACGTAAATAATGTGGGAATTGAGATTGCTTTAATAAATTGCCAGCCCTAACCCCAGTCTCAAATTTTATGCTCCCTAAAGCACTTTAATGTTTTCACTGTTAGAAATTTAAATTCTATTGTTACGGGTTCATTTGAAACACTGGTTTTACTACTTAGAAGTTGGAGAACCACTGCGTGACATCATCACTCTCTGATTTTCTTACCTTTAGACCAAGAAGGTTTCACACTGTTACCCCACTTTGTACTGCGCTCTCATTGTATATTCAGCAAAGGCAGTGCTAACACAGAGATTCGTTAAAGCCTGAGAAGATTTACGTATTTGCAGGTGGGAGTAACTTGTGGTGTCTTGACAAGGACTTAGATGAGAAAGATTTGCTTTCAAAGTACACTTTCTTCACAGAGCTGACACCTGCTGGACATGCATGTGCCAAAACACAGTAGCTCTGTGTTGAATATTTGCATATGTCGTCTTTCTAAGTCCCCCTCTACATTCATCTGCCTGCTTGTGATTTGAGTAATTTAGCTTCAAACACAGCACCGTGATTAGAGGTGGTGAACTGGTGGATGATTCACCGTGAAGAAAATAGGCCCCCTGAGAGTAATTTAAAACCTGCCAAGTGGTGGTACTTTCCATGAAGTGACATTTCAAAGTATTTAGTATTCTAGGGTGCGTTCTGGCAGTTCTGGCCCCAAACCGGTTTAAATCGAAGTCAAGCAATTTGAGAGGATGCAGCCTTCCCGTCCTGCAGACGAGAGTTGTAACTCAGCATTTATGTGGATCACACATTGCCTTTTGTGGGCTCAGGTGATAGTGGCTCGAAATGGACCCTCTTGGAATCAAGACTGCGATCTTGATAATTAAGTTAGGGTGTTACCTCTCATCTGCTTTGAAACGTCTTTGACCATTTCAAGAACCTAGGCATTCGTTTGACTCGCAAGTTAGAGAATTTCAATGGCAGCTACGTTGAGGCCGAGCTGAGCAATGAGTCACTACTGAGTCCCTGGGTTCCTCCAGAGCACAGCCCCCACCCGCAGTGGCCAGCTCACGGCTCCCTGCTCTCCTTCACTCTGGGTGCAGACCCTGCCACACCACTGGGTGTTGAGGCAATACTGGGGACACTGAGGCCCAGGGCAGTTAATAAAGGAGTCAGCGCGTCTGAGCCGAGATGTCCCTGGATGCTGCCGGAGGAGCCCGGCGGTCACGTCCCCCTCAGGGTCTCACCAGCCAAGAGTCTTGAGTTTTCTCCCAGCGTTGTTCCTACTCCACCCACACCACAGTTACCTGGGGATGCGTGTTAAAAACGCAGGTTTCCAGGCTCCATCCCAAACCTCGAGCAGGAGACCCTGGAATCGCAGTT